TGACCTAATTGAACCTAATTGAACGCGAATTAATTTCTAACTGGGCACTAATTGATGCAGTTATAAGATAATATTATTATTAATTTACAAGATAAAGACAGCGAAAATTTTTAATAAGATTCTGATAGCTATTCCTGTGACGATGATATTATTTAAAATAAAGTTAGTAAGTCATTAAACATTCTTATTATAAATATGACTGGAAAAAATTTATTAATTAATTATGTATAAGTATGCAAGAAATTTAGTTTTCTACATTAATAAACGTTTGTTGGTTAGAGTCATTAACAAATAATTAGTATTCCTGATTTGTATTTAACTGAAATAATTGACAAAAGGAATTTCACCAACATACTGCAAAAGCAATATAGATTTGTTATAAATTTTACTGTGAAACAGGTAACAAATAAAAAACCGAAAAACCTTTGTAACCCGATTGATCTGACAACTAACAATGACCACGGAGAAAGCTACAGCTAAAAACCCTTTCTGGTCCTGGCTTATTCTAGGATTTTTCGCCATTCTGTTCTGTTCGTTGCTTTGTTTTTCCAGTTGGTAATCTTAAGTGTTTCCAGATCTTGTTCCACTTGTGCCATGTATCTAAGTTTGGGTCTTTCCTTTGACCTTCTCCCTACTGGTGTTTGCCTAATTATATGTTTTGGTGTTTCAGTCTCCAACATCCGTTCAACATAGCCCATCCAGCGCAGACGTCCCATCTTTATGGATGTTATGACCTCGGGTTCATTGTATGCTGTGTATAGTTCAAAATTATATCTTCTGCGCCATATGTCATTTTCTTTCACTCCCTTATAAATCTGTCTAAGGATTTTTCGTTCAAACGTACCTAATAGGTTCTCATCGCTTTGAATATTGCAAACAAAATACAATTTGCATTAAATTGCAAACAAAAAAACCCAACTTCGAATTTCAAGTACAGAATATTTATTAATTCATTTAAGTTCAAAAATTAAAGTCAACCAAAGTTAGTTCAATACAATCACAATCAATCACATAAGAATAAGAAAATCACTAAATATCGCGGAATAGTTCGTCAAACACGACGTTTTTAGTCCAGATGGATCCATCTTCGTCGAATTTTTGCTTGGAATTCAGGGTGATGTAAACTTTGACGCCATCAAATGATCGAGATCGAGACATTGCAACGTACAGTTGTCCATGAGAGAAGACCGGATTCGGAAGATAGATCCCAAGTTTCTTGAGACTATTGATTTCTTATCTCATCTATTGCTTGAAAAACAGCAGCAACATCACCCGCAGTTGGCAAATTGAATCTTCTTGGATAGTTTTCTTGCTGTTCAACGATGTTCATAAGAAGATTTTGTCTGTTGGATGAATCTGAAGCAATCATTTCATTAAGTGTTTTGAAATCACTCATGTAACGATTGACTGCTTGAAGTTCACGTGTGAGATTTTTCATAAGGACTGGGCCACATCCTTGATTTGAAGAATGAGCCATTCTGAATTGTGCAGCCATTTCGACATCATAGATGTACACTTGACCGTATGAAGGGACTGAATCATCAGTTGACGTCCATCTTCCTAAACGGTGATAAATGTGTCCATGAACGCGAAGAAAGTATGGACCATTTCTTGAATCACTGTCGAGGCTCATTCCAGTGCTGACCATTGCCAAGGAAGAGTTGTAGAAGCGTATGTTTTTCTTATACTTGGCAGAAAGTTCAGGGGTTGAATTCAGCAACTTTTCAAGGTAGGGCAATGAACGAAGAGGTTCAAGGCGGACTTTGCCTTTGCCACAGCATCGAGTGAAATCCTCTTCCGTTCCTTCTTTTTCACAGGGAAAAAACTTTGCGTTGCAGAATGTACATGTCTGATTCAGTTCTCCAAGTGAATGTTGTGGAGGTGATGTCATCAATGAAAGCTAGGCGAGTTTCTCTATTCTGTTGTTGAGTTGCTCGCAGGTTCTGGTTTCTTTCACGGTATTTCAGAGCATATGGACGGGGCCGCGAGTTCTCAAACCGACTTCTTTTTCTTAAACGTGGCATTTTACAATTTAAAATTTAAAATATGCAAAAAAAAGTTACTTCCGGTTTTACTTCCGTTTTTTATTTAAGAGGGGCGGAGTCTAAAATCATATTGTTTCCGTTTCCTAATGTAATGTTTCGAGGACCAACTCGATGTCGAGTTAGTCCTCTAGTATATATATATATATATATATATATATATATATATATATATATATATATATAAAACCTAGAGCTAAGATTAATATTATTACTAAAATTAATATCAAACTCACCAGTCTTCCGGGTTGAACCGCGTCGTTGTCCATTTTGCCAAGCTTTCGGCATCCTCTCTGATGCCTTCTTCAGGGATTCCGAGGTCTCAGTCTCCCGAGCCCCCAGACACTACTACACTGTTCACTATTCACGGCACGAACACTACTGAATACTGCCGTGAATAGTGAACAGTGTAGTAGTGTCTGGGGGCTCGGGAGACTGAGACCTCGGAAGCCCTGAAGAAGGCATCAGAGAGGATGCCGAAAGCTTGGCAAAATGGACAACGACGCGGTTCAACCCGGAAGACTGGTGAGTTTGATATTAATTTTAGTAATAATATTAATCTTAGCTCTAGGTTTTATTGTACTAACCGCGGAAATCTTTCCGAACATTTTATATATATATATATATATATATATATATATATAAATATATATATATATATATATATATATATATATATATATTTATATATATATATATATATATATATATATATATATATATATTTATATATATATATATATATATATATATATATATATATATATATATATATAAGGTAGTCCAAAGTTTTTTGACTAGTTTGGAAAAAATATATGTAAATACTTTTTTCTTTTTGGGTGTGGTAGTCAATAAAAAATAGAGCTTTGCTAAGGCGTACTATTTATTCTGAATTCCGAGCTTTCGGTGGTTATTTGCCACCTTTATCAAGGTCTACAATGAAAATTACTGTGTTATAACATTAGGCTGATGTAATATAAAAGTTATAAAAACTTTCCAGAAAGTAAGATTCATAGCATATAAAACACAACGTTAAATAACATGATGTGATCTGAATTATTGAAGGCATTAAAAATTTTAAAAACTTTAAAATACTTAAAAATTAAAGAACATGTTACAAAGTTTAAAAAGTAAAAAATAAGACGACATGTTTGACAAAAAACAGTCGTCTTCGCAGGTTTGAATTCAGTCACATCTCACGAACAGAAAGAGGTAGTAGGAGGAACTATTGTTGTTTAAATATTTCGATGTAACTACAAAAAACAAACTTTCAAACTGATGTCTAACAAAATGCCGTTTGTGATTTTAGGTACTACCAACCATGTTACCAACTTAGAATTGAGAGGGAAATTTAAAAAAAGATTTTATTATTGTCAAAAAATAAAAAGAAAATAGTATTTAGCCAAAGCACAGACTAAATAAACCCACTTGTGCTTTGGCAGAACACACTATCGATCTAGACCATAAGATAGATTTCAACAATGTTAAAATATTAGCCAGAGAGAAAAATAAATTTAAGAGAACTTTCTTAGAAATGGTACATATCAGCAGGAGTGATAACAACAATCTGAATAAAAGATCTGAGATCCAGAATCTTAGCAAAATTTACAATTTTATTTTGACTTTTGACTAGGGTTTTCTGCATCTCAGAGTGCTTCATGTTTCGTAAATTCCATTATTAATTGCTATAATTATCATGATTAACTTCAGTTATTATTCAGATGTTCATTTTGTTTTGTTTGTTTGTTTTTTCTAAACCTATTTACTAAATACTATTTTCTTTTTATTTTTTGACAATAATAAAACCTTTTTTTAAATTTCCCTCTCAATTCTAAGTTGGTAACATGGTTGGTAGTACCTAAAATCACAAACGGCATTTTGTTAGACATCAGTTTGAAAGTTTGTTTTTTGTAGTTACATCGAACTATTTAAACAACAATAGTTCCTCCTACTACCTCTTTCTGTTCGTGAGATGTGACTGAATTCAAACCTGCGAAGACGACTGTTTTTTGTCAAACATGTCGTCTTATTTTTTACTTTTTAAACTTTGTAACATGTTCTTTAATTTTTAAGTATTTTAAAGTTTTTAAAATTTTTAATGCCTTCAATAATTCAGATCACATCATGTTATTTAACGTTGTGTTTTATATGCTATGAATCTTACTTTCTGGTAAGTTTTTATAACTTTTATATTACATCAGCCTAATGTTATAACACAGTAATTTTCATTGTAGACCTTGATAAAGGTGGCAAATAACCACCGAAAGCTCGGAATTCAGAATAAATAGTACGCCTTAGCAAAGCTCTATTTTTTATTGACTACCACACCCAAAAAGAAAAAAGTATTTATATATATATATATATATATATATATATATATATATATATATATATATATATATATATAGTGCACGCTGAAAGTCCCTTGCCCCTCTTTATTTGAGTATCACAAGGTCCCCTTTAAAATTATTGGGCACAGTGGCTCTGTAGCGTTCGTTTATTTCTTCCATCCAAAATTCACTATAAGAAGTATACCCATTCAAAAGATACGAGGGGGCATGGTCGAGCACTGTATATGAGTAGTTATCCATATTGAAGGTAATTGTGAGCAAAAAAATTCGACAACGTATTACTAGGACAACCGCATCAGTTTTTGGGGAGGTTAACAACCCGCCGCGCGCTGTAGCCTCCTGTTTACAAGATCTTCAGTCATTCAATCCGTACTTACCGTCCGAACATTTTTTTAGACCATTTTAACATATCGGATGCTAAAAATTGCTGAAGAAGATAAATGTGTTTAATTTCACCACCTATTTCTATATTGGGTAACAAACTCTCGAATATTTAAATCGATGTGCTTCTGATATTTCTATATAAGTAAACATTTTTAAGGTGCATCATAGGTTCTTATCAAAATTCGGATTTTTCGAGAGGTTTATCTCTGTTATTTTTCCATTTATGATAGCAAAAACATCGCACTCCACAGGTATAGGTATATAATATATTGCGCGTCGCGAAGTTTCAAGAGTAGCGGTGCATCCTTGAACGTTGTGAGCCTGTGATCGGTCACAAAATTGATGAATTATATTATTTATAAATATTGTTGTTATGTTATTCAGTGTTATAGTGGAATGAATACAACAAGATACTTTTTATGTAATAAATCATACTTACCAAGATAAAAGTAGGTAATTATTGCTTAATATATGAACATTTCTATTTTAAATGATTGAAGAATAAAGTTATTGATACATTTCTTATTATAGTGCAATATTGTGTTTGATTTTAGAATATGTATTTTCTTGTTACATGACAGTTTATTACGCAGTATTTAAAATTTCATAAACGTGCTTCTCTTCGAAAACTAAAGCGCTTTTTATGGATTCGCCGCTTGACTATTAGCTCCATTATAGTTGATACATTTAGTTTTGTTCTAGTTCTCAATTTTTTCATCTTTCTCTAATATGGTTCTGATTATTTTTCAAGTTTTATCTAATGGTAGATTTGTACATATACTATTTACATATATCAAACCTTAGTAAAATATTATGTGGATTAAATGCAACGTCTGATAATTGTTAAAAATTTAACCCTTTCACTCCTACTTTGTTTATTTTAAAATTTGATATACCTGCCTGTAGTTTGTTGTTCTAGAGCATTTAAAAGAACTAAGAATGTATTTAAAAATTTTTATCGTTTTTTTTTTGGTAAAAAATGCATGGGATTATATTTAGCAATTTTAAGGCTTTGTCATATCGCCCAAGCCTTGTAGTATACCTCACAATAAAAAAATTATAATGTTTATAATAAAGAGCGTAATTTTATGAGAACGGTGTCTCGTTTTTAACCACTATTTAGGCTAAATATGAGACAGTGGCAGGTTAAAAATAAGACACTGCGCTTTTAGTTATTTTATATGAGTGAGTAAATAATGAGCCACTGGGGAATAAAAACGATACACATGCAAAGTATGTGTATCGTTGCATACAAATGCATACGCATTTAAGCGTTTCCTAAATCAAATAACATAGTTAGGTTTTAAATTGTAAGAATATTCTTAGAAAAACACACATAACGAAATACAAAAATATGTTGCTATTAAACTAAAAAGAAAACAATTTAAAAAACAAGTTAATTAAAACATACCTAATTCAAAAACGAGGTAAAAAAGATTTTTATCAGAATTTTATCAGAAAGAAAGAGCTAAAGTAAAAAAAACTTTATTATTCTAGGTACTTTGTACTACATATTATTGAACGACGTACTTTTCAAAGTCGATAGGAAACCAACAAAGCTGAGAGATACGACAGGTCGTACTTTCTATTTCTGGCAGAGGCAGTTTCGTTTCTATGTCACTTTTGTTGATGAAGTACTTTTCCTCAATATTTGGAAAAATAAATTTAAATCCTTTGCGCCTCAGATATTTTACTTCTACATCGCTCTTAAAAATTTTAAGAATTTGTGCCACGTAGTAAACTTGCGTCTTAGTATTAAATTTAGTTAGGATAAAATCATTTTCCCTAAGTTCATATGCTTCCGTAATTTCAGGGTTTGTTTCTCCATTTTCTGAAGGCTCGTCATCACAGTTATCTTCAATAATATATTCTAAAGTCAAATCCTCTACATCGCTTTCATCTTGGTAAACATGCTGTTCGTCAATGCTGCTTTCACTGTTACTTTTAACTACTGTTTTATTCGCCGTGTGTTTCTTTCGTGATTTTGTAGATTTCTTACCTTTACTTTTCTTATTTGAACCATCTCCAAGGCAGACGAGGACCTTCTGCTTATATTTGAACGAAGGATCCTGAAAGGAATATTTGGTGGCATCTGTGAAAATGGTGTTTGGAGGAGGAGATATAACTACGAGGTATACCACAGATATAAACAAATATTTGGTGGTAAAGACGTAGTATTTTTTATAAGAATAGGAAGACTAAGATCACAGCAGAACAACCCTCCTAGAAGAATCCTTGTGTCACAACCCGTGGGAAGTAGAAAAAGGAGTAGGCCAAAACTCAGATGGAAGGATGGTGTAGATGAGGATGGTAGAAAGATAGGCGCAGCAAACTGGCAACGGTTGGCAATGGATAGGGCTGTCTGGCGTAATAGACTTGGAAAGGTCGAGGCTCTTTCATAGGGCTGTAGCACCATTGATGATGATGATACTTTTCTTATTTTGTTCTTTCTCCTGTATTTCCTTTAAATACTTTTCTGTTGTTAGGACTTTTGCCATAGAGTCTATCTTTCTTCTTCTTGTTGTTATATTTGGGGTTTTTTGAATTTTTTCAAGCAGTAATAATTAAAAGGAGTAAGATGGCTTGGGAGAAGTACTGTTAGATTGATCTAAAACAGACCCAATAAACTGTTTAGTCTGCGGCAGTGGAGTTTCTTCATCATTGATCTTCGAAAATATCAAGTGGATTTTTAAACACCTTACGTTCTTTATATCTAAGTAGCTTTGCAGGATCTAAGCATTCTGCTGGATATCTGTTCTTATCGCATGGAAATATCCCAACCTTTTCAAAAGAAGATTGAATAATTTCTGCAGATAAACCTTCATTTCAAATGCTACAAATCAAATCACTAAATTCGCTTCTAGATGGTTTTCTCTGATTAAGTCTTTGCCAGTTAATCAAAGCTTCATTCCATTTCAATTTCAATGGACCAAAGCAACATCTGTCAAGCGGTTGTAGCAAGTCAGTTGTATGAGCAGGGAGTTTCAATAAAGTTATATTTTCTTCCACAGCCAATTCTATCGTCGATTTATCTAAATGGGTAACATGTCCATCGAGTATGATAAGAAGTGGGCGTTCATGAACCAGTGCACAAGACTTTTGGAATCACTCTGACAAGTCATCCATCCCTTTTCAGAGGCTGCTTAGCTTGTATTCGGTAAATCGACCTTACCTAAAACACATATTTTTATTACTAACTATATTTTAACAAAAGGTTGACATTTTACCTTTCCAACTGCTCCATAAATTTTGCCCTTGGAAAATTATTAGAGGAAACAACAAAGTACCATTTCCTGAAATGCAGGCCATTACAGTGGTATTTGCCTTTCCTGACCCCTCTATGTTCCGGTGAACTTCCTGACCAATACCAGCAACGCCTTTTATTCTGGTTGGATCGGAAGAAAAACTGGTCTCGTCTAAATTCCAGATATGAACGGGCTTGTCTTGCAATTTCAAATCAAATATGCACGTATTCAGGCGATCGTAAAAGTCACAGATGATGAATGGATTACTTGTAGCTGATCTTCTACATCTTTCCAGTTGCTCAAGCTTTCTTTGACAGTCTATTACGCTTGCAAATCTTTTAATCCACTCTTTGCTAGGCATTCCTTCTTTAAACTGGGTAGTAAGGTGGTTTTCTTGTACATAGTTTTGAACTATTGCTTGTATCTCCGGTTTAGTGGGAGCAAACCTCCATTTTGCCATAATTTTTATCTTATTACTTAAGTCTTTTTCAATTTCTTTTTATTTAGAGAAGTTTTTATTCCCTGTTTACCAAGTACACGAGTACGTCTTCTCGAAAGAGCAGATTTGTGAATTTTAAACTGTGTAGATGCACTTCTAAGAGATAAAGTGCTATCCTCTATAAGCTTTAGGGCTGTTTCCATGTCCTTTTTGTCGTAGGGACGCTTTTTGGGAACGTAAACCTTCGGCAATATTCTTAAAGGTATAAAAGCTCCGCCTTGTTGGTATCTCGTTTTTGCGCATGTAATTTACGACGTGCTAACTTGCCAACGAGTGAATTAAGATTAAGCTCGTTAGGGAATATCATAGCCGCATGTGCTATTTTAGAAATCCGATACTTGCCGAGTCTTTAGGATCTCGTACAGCAGCGCAACAGGAAAAGCTCGTATATACAATTTAAAAGTTTTTTTTAAGCAAAATGCACAGTCAGATGCGATAGTTTTTTCTCATGTTTGTGTTTTCGTTTATTTATTATTCATTACATATTTCAGTTGTATATATTCGGAAGTAATCTGTAACGTATGTTTTATTACGTAAGGTTATTGTTTTTTTTGCATTAGGAAAAATTGAATGTCTTCTTTTTGACCGAAATTTCGTCTGTCTCATTTTTACACCACTTGACCATATATCCTAACAGTATTTTTGTACGGAATATAAATAGAGACTCATTGGATGCGTTTGCTAGGGGAGGTTCTATGGGATTTATTAGATTTATTACCTGGTTACTTGGGTTTGCCGATATTCTTACAAAGTATGAAAATAGAAGCTGCTACCTTCTTAGATGGAGTGGTGGCTCTGAAGATTCAACACAAACACTTTCAGCGGGGCTTGATTTGAAAGCACCAAGGCATAATCGTAGGGATGTAGTTTCTTCCATGAATAGACATTCTTTATCAGCTCCCCAAGAGAAGATAGCAAGAAATTTAAGTAAATTTATTCTTTGGGTTCAGTTTTCTTTAAGTTTCTGAATATGCTGTCTCCAAATAAAATTTTTATCAAAGATGATACCAAGAAGTGTCAAATAATTAACTGTTTATAAACTAAGTCCGTTTCGAGTTATGGAAGGTGGATTAGGTCTATGCTTCTTGGTAAAGTGAATCGCTTTGGATTTAGGAGCTGAAAACACAAATCCAGCACGCGTAGATCAGGTGTCTTTTTTGTTTATTGAATTTTATAGCAAAGTCCTGGAGGTAGCTGTGACTCTGCTTTGGAAGTATAATATAATATTATCAGCATATATCGAGTACCTGACTGGTGGTTCTATATATGAGGAAAAGTCATTACATGCTAAGTAAAAATAAGGTAGTGCTTAAAACTGAGCCCTGAGGCAAACCGTTGTCCAAAGCATGAGGTTTTGATATTTTTCCATTTTTTTAAAGAGTATTTTAATAACAACCAAGAAAGTAGCAACGAAAAACTAATTTTGAGTGGTCAAAGTATAGATATTCGGCTCCAAGTTTTGCAAATATATTCACGGTAAAAAATTATGATTTACGGCAATTTTGTCAGTGTGGAGATTGGTTGTTTTGCAAATAGAGGTCTCAATTCTTGTGATAATATTTTGTCATTCTTTGACTATTTAATTTTGAGTGAACTAGTAGTAAATACTTTTATTCATTCTTCGATTGGGCATGGTTTCTATATATGCTATGTATATATATATATATATATATATATATATATATATATATATATATATATATATATATATCTCTATGGCTTCTCGGATGATTCTTGGTTTATAGAAGCGGATGGGGGCTATGGTTCTGGAGTTTTCAAAATCGATTTTGAAAACTCCAGAACCATAGCCCCCATCCGCTTATATATATATATATATATATATATATATATATATATATATTATATATATATATATATATATATATATATATATATATATATATATAAGTATGTGTTAACTTTTAATTATGTTTTTTTATTTTAGTTCCTTCAGTTTTATTTAAAGGAATAAACGATGTTGCAATTAATGCTAGTCTTGGCCGCTTTGGCTGTATTCTTCTATTACTTCGCTGTCAAACCAATGAGTTACTGGAAGGAAAGAGGAATAAAACAGACAAAACCTGTATGGTTACTTGGTGATAATTGGGGAACTGTCCTAAAGATGCATAGTTTAGTAGATTTTATCCAATATGTCTATGACCAAGTTCCGGATGTAAGGTAGGATTTTTTTAATATGTACTTTTGTTTTTAAATAACTTTCGCTTAAGTTTTAAGCGCTTTTAAATAACTTAAGGCACAAAATTTCGGGTCAATGCTTTTTAAATTTACGAAAAAAAAAACAAAATTGTAAATAAACAAAAAGTTTTTTGAATGAGATATTTGAAAATAAAAATCACACTAAATTTTCCCTTTTTTTTCACCCCTGTAACTTATTAAAATAAACGTTATAAAAGTTCTCAGGGACTTTCGGCAGTCGATAATAATGTATTCTTTCATTCTGCGCTTAAATTTTTCAAAAATATTTATTAGTTTTCTTAGAATTCTAAAAAAATTAACGCACTTAAAAAGCATTGGTCCGAAATTTAGCGCCTACGCTTTTAATAGGGTACGGTAGGACAGTAGACGGGCATTTCCGATATCTGTCACGTCAGATACCAGCTTTCTTTTCCTACCCCAATTCACGTAAAAACAAAACAAAACAAAACAAACAAAACAAAACAAACAAAACAATTCGATTGCTGCTACAAAGGATATACGCAGATCATGAATTCCTGACATTACTTCCAAAACATCAGTTTGGTTTTCGAGAAAATCACTCCACCACCCGACAAGTAAATCGAATAATCAATGAAATATCAAAAAGTCTTGAAGAAAAGAAATACTGTAACGCTGTATTTCTTGACATCTCACAAGCGTTTGACAAAGTCTGGCACAGAGGTCTGCTTTACAAAGTAAAAATAACACTATCCAGTAACTATTTTCTCCTACTTAAATCCTACATATCAAATAGATATATCTCTGTAAAATTCAAAGATCAAAAATTCAACCTCTACCCTGTCAACTCCGAAGTCCCGCAGGGTAGTGTTTTAGGGCCGCTGCTTTTCTTACTCTACACAGCCGATATACCAGAGACTAACAATACTACAATCGCTTTCTTTGCTGACGACGTAGCAATACTAGCTGTTAATGAAGATCCTTTACAAGCCTCACAAAACCTGCATCATCATCTGAACATACTCAGTGATTGGTATACGAACTGGGGAACAAAAGTAAATAAAACAAAATCAACTCAAATAATATTTACCAACGGTCACAAGATAGGAAAATGTAAGAATACTAACAGTAACAGATGCTAAATACCTTGGCCTTCATCAGACCAAAAGAAGGCAGCTCGACTTAAAATTTTGGCAAATGTATTGGCTTCTTGGACGTAAATCAAATCTTAACATCCAAAACCTATGTTTCTGAAAAGTGTTACTGAAACCTATCTGGTTCTACGGGCTACACCTATGGGGCTGTGCAAAGCCAACGTCGCTGAATCGTCGCTAAATATTATCCAAACATTCCAGTCTAAAGTGCTAAGATCGATAGTGGATGTACCATGGTATGTGAGTAATCAAACGCTTCACTACGATTTAAAGATTCCTTCATCAGAGGAAAAATCCATCGAGCCACGGAGTCACAAATGAACGTACCATTCACCATGAAAATGAGCTAGTAAGGGAATTATTCAACAATGGTCCAGCCACAAGAAGACTAGATAGAACCTGGCCCCAAGACCTACTACAAAACTACACCAAAATAGAATAAGTTGATACATTATTGGATATCTCTCCTTCACGTGCAAAACCTGTAACACATTTACTTAATACTCTGTAATGATGTAGATTGTAAATAAATAATACAAATCTAAACGATAATGTCAATGTAGGAGATGTTCAAAATGTTCTCTACGAACGTGTTGGCAACACCCTAACTGTGAATAGAAATTTCGTCTGACGTTACAAAACATCTCAGATGTAATTGATCTAGTCGCAAGCGTTATTCGTCTTGGTGCTAAGTAGTGGATTTAGTTTTGTATATAATACTTTTCACATATCCCCATAAGAAAAAGTCTAATGGCATCTAAGGGATCGTGATGAACTTTAAACAAATGTAGCTTTAACATTATTATAAATAAAAGTATGCATTATTATAAATAAATAATTGCAATTTCAAAAATAATTCACAATTAAAGTTCCAAATAATTTATAAGGGTAACATTTTTTCTTATAACAAAGTACACAGAGACCATGAAACTTACGTTTTCGTTTGGTAGATCCTGTTAGACCGACAAAAAAAGTCAACCATGATGTGGTTGACGGTAGCTGGAGAATAAAACATATTATGTAGATAAGAAAGATCTGTCTATCGATGAGAAAATGAATTTTAAGCATCACAATAGATGTAAGGCGATCGACCATATCAGTTGCTATTATGTAGTACATGGCACAATATATATCAATAAACCAAAGACAAAAAATTAGTCCATATATTGTAATCTTAACAGAAAAAAATAATAAGCAAAACCCAAATATCAATTTTTGGCAAATGACCTTTAGAAAAGAGGAAAGAACAAGGAAAACCCTAAATCCCAAGGGTCGGTGATCTCAAAAAATGGACAGGCCCAAGGTGAATGAATATTACAAGAAATACAGAAATATAGAAGACATTTAGGGAGGCTTATGTTCAATATAAAGAAGATGATTTATATAGATAAATTCCAAGAACAACAAGAAGCTATTTGAAAACCAGCATAATTATTTAATATTTAGTAGGTAACTAAAAAAATTGTTTTGAATTTAAAATTGGCAAATTTTTTTGGTAGTGTTTAAAATTACCAAAACTGACCATTAATATCACCAACGGATGTAATTTAGTGATGTAATTCATAAAATAATAACGAGTCTAATATCTGACCTCTAATCTTTTAATATAGACAATTAAGATATATACACAAAATACTGCTGCCAATAACTACACTCATGGACAAAAATATCGAATATTTTGAAATTTACAATTTTTTTTTTGAAAATAAGTGCTGGTCAATTAAGTCATTTATTATAAAAAGGAGTTTATTTTAACAATGTTTACTAAACAGTTTTCAAGTTTTATGCGGAGAAAATTGCGAAAAAACAATAATGCTTAATAATAACTTAAATTGCTTAAACAAGTTTTTTTAATTGAAACAAGTGCATGTTCAGTAACGAGTATTCCTCCCTCTAGCTTTTATTACTACTTGCATCCTTCTTGGCATGCTCGCAAGTAAATTTTGGACATACCCTTGGGAAATAGCATTCCATTTATCCTGTGCAGCAAGCCGAAGCTACTCTATGGTATTTGAAACGAGATTTCTTTGTCGTATGCGGCAATTTAACAGATCCCGCATGTGCTCTATTGGATTTAAATCCGGACTAAATGGTGGCCAATCCAATCTTTGAATTTGGATCTCATCAAGATATTTACTTACTGTGGCAGCAGCATGTGGTAGAGCATTATCGTACATTAAGATTAATCTGTCAAATCCAATTTATGATATGGCAAAACATTATCTTGCAGAATATTTTGAACGTAAGTGTCACCAGTCATTCGTCCAATCACTTCCACAAGTGCGGTGCGTCCCTCCCAACTCCCAACTAATACCTCCCCAAAGCATTATGGCATCACCTCCAAAACTAACGGTCTGGGTAAGAATGCAGGTGACGAATCGTTCTCTTAACTCTTCTGTAGACGTGGTTTTGCCCATTTGGCTTACATAATAGGATTCTGGTCTCATTAGTGAAAAAAACATTTTTCCAGTCATCGATATTCCAATGAATATGTCTTCTTGCAAATTCTAAATGACGAGCTTTATGATTTTGGAAAAGACGTGAAACTTTTGCAGGACGTCTAGGCTTTAAGACTGCTTCTTTTATTCTTCGTCTAACTGTTTTTGAGCATTAACTTGTATGACATTTAGTAGCTCATTTCTGAGGTTCATCGATGTTAATGAGCGATTCCTTGTAGAATTAAGAACCAAAAAATGGTCATCAATTGTGGTTGTGCAATTTGGACGTCCTTGACCAGGCCTTCGTAAAAACTTGCCTGTCTCATGGCACCTTTTTAAAATATTTGAAACTCTAGATTGATTTCTCCTGAGACGCCGTGTGATATTTTTTGTGTATATCCTTCCACGTATAAAATTACAATCTGTGCTGCTTAGGCTTTATCGCAGTGTCAAATTGGTAGCATATTTGTGTTAAATTTACTTGAATCAAAACAATATTTAATAAAACTTAATGAATTAAACTAAAAATAACGGAATTACTATGATTTTTTACCTTTTTTCCTTTACGCGAAGAAAGTTTTTTATGATATAATGCACGAATGACACTAAACGCTGTATAAACGTCAAAATAAACGTCAAAATATTTTAAACTAATTGACTATATCAGTCTACTATATGAGTAAAATCATCAGTAATCTAAAGTTATTTTGAAATAATAGTGACTACCTACACAAAAAGAATTAAAAAATTCCAAAATTTTCGATATTTTTGTCCATAAGTTTATTTAGAATAAATATCAATTTAGAAAAGACAAAATACCTCTCAATTGGAGCTGAAGCAGAACAACGGGATATCGATGACAATCAAATAATAAATCCATGCGACGAATATAAATACCTGGGCGTCATCTTCGACCGTAGTGGAAAAGACGAACGAGAAATAGAACATCGAATTGTACAAGCACGAAGAGCTATAGCATGTTTGAACGCAGTTCTATGAAGTAAAGAAATATCAAGGAAAAGAAAATGGAACATCTATGAGACAATTGTTAAAACTACCCTACTTTATGGAGCTGAGACCTAGAGAATAACCAAGAAATATAAAAAAAAGGTCGAAGCCACGGAAATGGATGCCATCAGAAGATCAATGAGAATATCAAGCGCCGACAGAATACGGAATGAGGTGATAAAACAACAAATGGGTATAGAGGGCACTATAGTTGAGGATATTGAGAGAATACAGCTCATATGGTATGGGCATATGAGCCGAATGGGGGACGAAGGATTGTCTAAAAAAACGATGATGTGGCAACCCCCAGAGAAGAGGAATCGAGGAAGACCACCACAGAGCTGGAACCTGGGAGTCATGAAAGCGATTAGCGCTCGAAATCTGGACGAAGACCTAACTCAAG